CCCCCCCGGCCCCCAGGGGGGGGGGGGGGGGTTGTTGCGAGGCAAGAAGCTCTGTTTTATGCCCCCACTCCAGCTCAAGCCAGGCATAACAGCCCAGCTGCTGCTGCTGCTCCCTTCCCTCCCTCTCCACTGACAGCCCTGGAGCTGGGGCAGGGTTTGGGAGTGTGGCAGTTTGGCAGCCTCCTCAGAGGCTGCTGGAGAGCCCTCACCCGCTGAACAGAGCCAGTGCAAGCAGGCTTGATTCATCTGACCCAACAGGTTTGCTGGGTTGGGGAGGGTGCTCTAGCTCATGACACTTTACATAAAGCACCATGAGTTAGAGTGGGGCCCTGAATATCTGTCAGCACACAGACATTTTCACTGACATCCCTAATAAGCACTAACTTTGTTTATAAGTTTTAGAAGAAAAATAATTGGCTAAGAAGTTAGTAATATTTTGGTGTTGATGGAAGGGCACAGGCTTTTGGAGCAAGGATACTTGTAACTTCTGCCTCCCTCAAATACCACAAGCTATTTAAATTCCAGTTCTGAAAAACATGTTAAGCCAGAATTATGAGTTAACATAGATAGAGCTGGCTTGTTTAAAACATTCTCATAAGGTTTTTTTTAAAAACCCTTCATTTATTTTCAGTTTAAATAGTATTTTGTTAGTCAAAACCATATAAAATGAGAAACACAATTTGAATATTTCAAGTGAAAATTATAACATTTTACAAATAAATATCTTTAAAAAGTTAAGAAACTGTGTTTGGACAATGCAGAACATCATATGGGCTTGATCTCAGTAGCACTATTTGGTGTTTTTCTTTAAGGACTTTGACCATGCAGTGTTCTAAGACCAGAGTTTTTAACTTTTTTGGCTTACATTGAGATGAGCAAAGGGGCTGGACCTGATGATTTTGTGAGGTCCCTTCCAGTCCCTAACTCCTATGAATCTACAAATTTATGTATACAGGTCCCCTGCAAGGATTAATTTTGGGCAGGTCCACCACATCCCATGCAGCTTTGTGGGCTGGATTGGTGCTCATGCGGGCAAGCACTAGCCCAGCCCTGATCCTGCGACTGTCACAGAGAGGAGACAGAAATCTTCTGTCTCCTCCCTATGCAGCAAGGGAGGGAGCAAGGTGAATACAGGGAGATCCTCCCTGTCATGCGTTCCCCACAGCTACTCCTGTGGGTTTGGGAGGAGATCGGCTGAGCCCACAAGGCAATGGGGAAGGGGGCTCTCTTCCACCCCTTCCCCTCACATGAATGTCTTGACAGCAGCAGCCATGGTTACCACACCTAGAGCAAAGGCAGGAGGAGGGGAAACAGAGCCCCCCCTCCCCTCCTTGCAGGCCATGGCCCAGCTCCCTCCAAGGCCCCAACGAAGTTAGCCAGGCTGGGCCCACTTGGCAGGGGGCCTCCATTCCTCCCCACACCGGAGGCTCTTGACAATGGCAGCCTTGTGGCTGCCATGCTCAGAGCTGGGACAGGGGAGTACAGGGAAATGGAATTCCTCCCTTGCCACTCAGGCTCAGCCCAGTTACCCCTGCTGAGTCTTGTGGGGAGCCAGGCCGGGCCCAATGAGGTGAGGGGCTTCCATTTTCCCCCCTTTCCCAGATCTGGAAGCAGCAGCCTCTGCCACTATCAAGATACTTGTGTGGGTGGTGTGGGGGGGAAGGGAGCCCCCCCACATTGCGTAGGCCCAGCCCAGCAGGGTAGCTGGGGGGGGGGGGGGGGGGGGGGGGGCATATGTGGAAGGGGGGGCTCTGTTTCTCCCCTCAGTGGATGCTGACAGTTGCCAGATGGGTGCAGGGGGGACTTGGCATCTTTCTGGGAGGCTCCTGGAGCATCCCCACCTGCTAGCTAGGGCCGGTGCAGGCAGCTCCAAGCTCCTCCTACCCAACAGGCCTGTTGGGTTCATTGGCACTCTAACTCATAGCACTTTGTGTAAAGCGCCACGCGTTTGAATGCCTCTCCAATAGGCTATCTGCATTTGTGTATATGCCCTTTGTTTACCTTGCCCAACAGAAAGTGTTGATTTCAGAGATGCAGCTAGTATGCTAAGATGAACCCTAAGGCTTCTCAATGCCAGCTTCTAAGGTGTTTCCTTTAAATCATGGTATATATCTGTGAAAAAGATTATGTCCTTGCTCCTAAAGAGCAAAACCAGACACATTTTTATGGAAGAAAGGATTACAAGGAAGATGGAAAGGGCATCTGAGCTGCATGTATAGATAGGAATATGCAGCAACTGACCCAAGAGGGGCTAGGGTATACAAATATTGTCATTGTTTCAATCTATATAAGGGTTTTCTTATTAAAAAGTATGCTTTTTCTTTGCTGGGGTGCTGCCAAGTATGAATGTTCTGATTTCCAGTTGTATGTTTCTGTTGATCTTTGGTTCCTGGCCATATTCATGGTGTTAACTTGGTCTCTTCCTTTTAATTCAGGGGTAGATCCAGAGGATTGACAGTTGCCAAATGAAATAGTGGAAAGAAGATTGCATCTCTCTAGGTTTGTGTTTCCCAACCTTTTCCAGCCCAAGGCACACTTACATTAATAAAAATTTTCTGCGGCACACCTGTTAAGGCATTCCCCATCCTCATACCTATTGTAGCTGATTGCCATGGCAAAATTCAGCAGCACATGTGTTCATTTCTGACAGCACACTTTTGTGCCACGGCAGACTGGTTGGTAAACAATGCTCTAGATTGACTATAAATGTCCTTATCTCACAGATGGTGAAAGATGACAAAAAACAAGACATCCATCAAGCTGTTAAATTTGTATTCAATATACCACCAAGATTCTCTATGTTTTCAAGGAGAAGGATAACCTGAGTTATTTACACAACTGGAAGGCTATTAGAGGATATTTTTCTGATGTGCATGCAAGAAGAAATGGCAACATCTAAATAAACTTTGGTACTCTTATGCTAGAAAGCTTGTGTTGTTTCTCTATATATCTTATTTAGTTAATCTATAAAGGTGCATATCTACTTTACCTTTAGAAAGAGAAGAGTTAGAGGCCAGATCCAGATATGCAGGCATGTGTGGTTTGTGGCACTGCACACCTATTTGCAGCATGAGGGCAAAATTTGCTATTGGGAAATCCTGGTAGCAAAAAAACAATCCTGGTAGCAAAAAAACAAAAACCAAAACAAAACAAAAAAACACAGCAAAAAAAAAAAGTGGCACAGTGCATGCCACAGGAGCATGTGCTGGCAGATATAGTCCTCCTTGGAGATACTCTGGCTTTCCACTCCGGCTCCTTCAGCATGCCGGAAGCTGGCAGGAGTGGAGAAATGGCAGTTTCCTTGAAGTGGGGCATTTTGCCCTGCACCAAAGCACAAGCGTAGGGGCTTGTACAGTAGCCAAAAGTAGCAGCACAAATCTGTGCTTCTACTTTTTTGGCACCACAAGCGCATGCCCCTGCATGTGGGGATGCACTCACTGAGTCATTTTTATGCTCTGCTCTGAAAGCATATCTAAAAATCATCATGTAGTAAAAGTTCCATATCTAAACATCAATTTGTCTAAAGAAGTTTGCCATTCATAAGAAAATTATATCTGTATATAGCCATACTCTCAAATGTGTGAGTGATTTCTGTTTTGTTTTTTTTTGTTTTTTTGGTTTGCTTGGTGGTATAAAATAATCAAGCAGTTAATTTAGCAAGAAAAGCTTTTAACAAAGATGGCACAAGTTCTTAAGAGCATATTTGCTTTGATGAACAAAAACTATAAACAAAGTTTCCCAAATCAAGCTATCATTCACTACAGACTGTGTGCTTAGGTAAAATGAATTATCAAGGTACAGATCATGAGGAATTGCTATTTTATTGTGACATGTAAACAAAAAGC